TTGCATTACAAATTATAATAATGTGGTTGCAGAAAATAAGAGTATCAATGCATTCACACTCCAAAAAGTTATTTTCCCAGCAGTCAGGCAAACAGAGTTTTCCTGTGTAATCTTTGGGGTATCAACAGTCCAAACACTAATGCTCAGTCAGGCTCTTTTTTGTTTGCTTACATACAGAGTCAGAATGCATATTTGGACTGATATGAAAAGGCAGAAGGTTGTAACAAGATCACAACATGAAAGAAAAGATCAGAGATGGAACACCCCTTCTCTTTATATCTGCTTCCTTGTCTAAATCTTCAGACTTTGCAGGTAAGAAGTTTCATTTGCTATATAGAAAGACACAGTCACAGAATTACTTCCTAAGAGCTGACATTAAAAAGTTGTCTGCAGCAGGACAGACTCCTGAAACCCAGACAATAGAAGTGTTTGAAACCCTCTGCTGCAGGTCACTATACTTCTCCAGCGAGCAGAAGCTGTTATATCCCTCCTTTCATTGATTTACCATTACTGAATGGATTCCTCATTTTAACAAAACATATTGTTATATTCCAGATAAGTCTTTGACAATTCTTTACACTAACCTGTGGAATTCAATTGCCACCATTAATTTCACTCTGGTATTTATCAGCAGAAGCTTTTTTCCTGCAAGAACCAATTTATTTAATTGAATAGTTTAAAGGTTTCCAAAACCACATACAAAAGATGAGGTTATAGCTAATAGCTCTCAAATATACTTAAAACCTTGAATCATTAGCAGTTGCTTAAACTAGGAATTTTCAAGTGCAATCCAGAATTTATTACAAGCTAGTCTTAGTGGTGTGATTTTTCACATTTTTTTCACAAACATAGGAGGCAGTTAAAATAATATTACATGTACAGGAATAAAGCCTGTAATTTGTTAGATGAGGTTATAGCTAATAGCTCTCAAATATACTTAAAACCTTGAATCATTAGCAGTTGCTTAAACTAGGAATTTTCAAGTGCAATCCAGAATTTATTACAAGCTAGTCTTAGTGGTGTGATTTTTCACATTTTTTTCACAAACATAGGAGGCAGTTAAAATAATATTACATGTACAGGAATAAAGCCTGTAATTTGTTTTCCTTTCACCTGTTTCTGGCA